AAACGTAAACTGCAGAGCAGGGAATGAATGTTGATGTTGGACCACAATCTGCCTTCATGCTTTGAGAGGTGCCTCCTTTACCTTTTTTTTTTTTTTGGAGGGGGGGGGGGGGCAGAAGTTGTGAAGTCTGACTTCAGATAAATGTGTGTAAATAAGCATTGACTTTGCAGATAGGTCAGAATTAGTATGTTGATAAATTGGATGTTGCGAATGGTATCATGCTACATTCTTCCAGCAGACTTGCAGCCTTGTTTGAGTGAGGACCCTGATCCCAGATTGCCTGGATTTTGTAATACAAACACACTCATAAATGCCAAACCAAAAATATATGGTTTTGGGGAAGCTCTTTACAATAAATTGGAATATTGTATGTAAAGTGTTTTTAACAATAAGATTGAATCCTCTTTCACTCAAAAATATGAGAGCCTTTCTTTCTGTTCCACCGCAAAATATGATAGAGACAAAGAAATTCTGGTGAATAAATCGACCTTGGAAACTGGCAGACTTGGTAAACTGCCCCTGTAAGAGGTAACAAGTATGTTGCTGCTCAGGAAGAACAGGAGTTGGCTGCTAATGCTATTCTGAACACTGAAATACACTCTAATAATGCACTGCATATAACTTTGATTTATCTATTTATTCTTGAGTTGTTGATTTTAGGTACTATATTCTCTGTATTGTGGAACAAACAGCATAAAATTGTCATGTATTAAATATGCTGATTCTTTTTTTTCTCTTGGGACAGTCATTTTTATAGTCAGAGGTACACACAACAACAACTGTGTTTAGGCAATTTAAAAGAAAGACTTTGACACCAAATCCCAAAGAAACAGGTTTTCCTTCAAATATATCAGACAAGACCTGAATACTGAGAACTTTTGTGCTCATTAGACCTGTATGTGGCCCAAGCCAGATTGGCATTGTGTTCTGCAGGATTAAGACTATTAAAATGTTGCCAGTAAAGGGCAATTTTAGGATTAATTTGTTAGGAAAATGGAAGGCTAGGCCAAGGTTTTATATTTTATCAGTTTGGGCTTATTATTTGACCAAGCTGATAAACAGAAATAAAATAAAACATAATGTGTTTTCCAGCTGTCTAGATAGTTTGTATATAGTTAGTGGCAGGGGACTCATTTTGCAGCTATGTTTATGGTGAGGGTCATTTTCCTTGGCATACTGGGAATTTTTTAGTGCAAGATCTAGCTTTAGAACAGGAAAGGAACTAACAAATGAGTTCTGTGGGAGGGAAGTATATTTTTAATAACCTTACATCTAGAGCATCTGGTTGGGAAATGTTTTGGGTATGATGTTCCAAAAATGAAAGTACCTACAATATACTGTTTATAACCATTGCTTTAAAAAACCTACATTCCTCTAACTCAGCAAGTCCATACAAATTAGAAAATTAAACATAATGCTTGATGGTGCCAATATAATAAGAATATCCTCTTAGGGCTGGTTATAAGTTTAAGACGGTAGTGTTTCAATCGTAATTCTGACCACTGGACAGTAAAGGATTAGTATATGAGTCTGGGCAGTGATCTGTATGTTGCATGGCATAATAGCCACATTTGGAGGCATCTTTCACTTCTACAGGCACAGAAGGAAGTGTTAAATTTGTACCCTAACTGCTGATAAACTCGTTCTTCAGATATTTAACATAACAGTGTTTAAAGCTCGTAAGAGGAGCATAGCTACTGAACTGAAAGCAGCATCCTCTTAGTCAAAACCAACTTTGTCACTATTTGTGTAATTTCTGCTAGGAATAAATAGCTTATAAGTCTATAGCCAGCTGTATATATTTGCAAATATTTGTAATTTAAGGATTTTTATGATGTACAAGAAAAACCATTAACAATTTATTTTTCAAGAGCTGACAGATTTTCCTCTCATCTTCAGTAATTCTAATGCTCGAGAAGTATCTTTAAATTTAAGCAGCAGCTTGTATAAAGATACACATGCTAAAGTCTAGATTCTGTTGTTGGGGAATTTCCACGGAATTGGAGAGATTACTCCTATTATATGGCTATTTTTACTTGTGTTTTTCTTTGATGTATTTGAGAAGGAAATGCATTACCTATATATCTGTAATAAAAGTCAGCTAACCAACACTATAATATTGGGCTCTTTGTTGAAATTCAGCTTCTTTGGTCTTCGTAGATGCAAAAAGGAAGGAACTGTTACTGGGCACTTGCTCTTTTTAGAGAGGCCATCCCTTCTCGAGATGTCTGCATTGTCCAGAGCATTTTTCTATATGTGTGTGAGACAGACGTGCTTCCCAGAAGAGTTAGTGGTAAAGCAAGCACTGTCCTGGTTATAGTGCATCATAAACAGCTCTGGATTTCTCTTTGTGGACGCAAGCCTGTCAATCAGGCGTCTACCCGCTGTAGCTTGGTGGGTGACAGCACAAGATGAGAATCAATTATTTGGGGGTGGGTTTGCATTAATGGATTACCTCTAAATGCAGGTGATGTATATTCATGTGTTTGAAACAGAATTCGTATTTCTGGTGAGTGTATTTTTGTTTGAAACAAAAAAGGCTGAGTTAAGGAATGGGAATTGTATTGCATATTCAACAATATTTTTTCTGATATTTATTTAGGCTATGAAAAGAGAGAGGGAAAATTGGACATGAGAAATTCAAGACATGTTTGCCTGTCAGAATTTTAGCTCTGCCGTATTCCCCGGACCTTAGTTGATATCTTTGCGTGATGTCCTTTACGGACTTAATAAGACATGCAAAGCACTAGCTTAAAACCGCTGTTGTCCTTTGGGCTTCTAGTAATGAAAAAATTCAAAGCAACTTTGAAAACGGCTGTCTGACAAAATACATCCACCTAAATGCTGGAAGAAAACCAGGCTGGCAACATTGAGAAAATCTACCCTAAGTCCTAATGGAGAAGAACGGTTGAGGTGATATTCTCTTTCACCTCAAATTTGCACAGAAAAACTTGTCTTGAACCTTCCACAACACCCAGGGAGCTGGAGGGATCAGTATTTTGCATGCACAGCAAGGGAACAAAGAGACTTTGAAACCAAGCATCTGCAAAGGTGAATTGTTTGATTAAATGATACGTGACATTACATGTGAAAGTGCAGTTGACTTAGTTTATAGGTAGAACATTCATAAATCATTACTGTTTGTCCAGATAATCTGATACAACCTGGAACACAAACTTAGATCTCACTTGTGGATTTGAAGGCTTCAAAGGCTGCGACTATTGCTGTCTGTGTGCAGAGTTTCCCTTGCATTACGACTGGTTCAGGCTGCTCTTTGATCTAAATAGCCTCAGATTTTAGCTGAGAAGCCTCATCTACTGGTGATGCTTCTTGGTTCTTGGTGACCTTTGCTGATGTGACTAATTTGTCATGCTTTTTCCAGTGAGAGCTCAGGTTGTCTATGTCCCTTTTGTTATTGGAGTGCTGGAGGTGGGTGAGGAGGAGACTGTCTGTATATACAGTAGTAAGAGCACTGAGATGTAGGTTAGGGTAATTGAACGTTGATAATTGGGAAATGGGGAGCAGCTATCCCATACTGCCTTTTTCTGCCTTGTAATACTGACTGTAGTCATGTAGCTCCCTATAATTTTTCATATATATAAATTCAGTAACTTTCTTCTAGACTAGCCAGCCCTGCACCTGCTAGTTACAGTGACTAGCCTTGCTGTGTGAGAAGAGCTGTAGTTTGGGAAAGGTCTGATCGAGGCTCTGACGTGCTTCTGCTGTGAAAAGTGAGAGCCTGAACCTGGCCGCGAGCAGGGATCAGTTGTTCAGGGGTGCTGGATTGCACTGGCTTTGAACTTTTCACAGGGCTGCAACCACTGTCTGTTAAACCGTAAGGAAGAAATTGTTCCCCAGGCCAGGACCTGAAGTTCAAGCTGGCTTTGTGTTAGGACTTTTCAGTTCTGTTATCTGTCAGTTGTCCATAATCTGGACCTTTATGACAGTGGAAATCACGCAGGTCTGATGAAGAGCAAAAACAGGCTTTTTTTTTTTTTTTTTCAGTCTGTTTTTCATCTTGAAACTCACTGTATTTAAAAAAAAAAAAAAAAAGTCTGGACCCTTCTTACACCAAATGTAGTATTGTTATTTTGAGCAAAATGTCGCATTGATATGTCTGTCTCAGAAGTGTTTGCAGATAACAGATTCTCTACCCCTAATTACACTCAGTAGTTCCAAACTAACTTCAAATACAAGAACATGACAAAACTTATGAAAAACTGTACCCTGGTAGGTTGCAATTGAGATGGAGAGCTACAGAGAGACAAAAGGAGCTCTCAGTGGAGTTGGAAGAGGACAGTCCTTAAAGTGATTCACAGAAACAATTAAACCTCTGTTTGTGGATATAAGGAATATGTACCAAAAAAAAAAAAAGGATTAATTTAAGAAGTGTTTGGACTGTGCACTTAGTCACATGGTCTAAACTTTTGGGTAGACCTGTGCGGTGCCAGGAGTTGGACTTGATGATCCTTATGGGTCCCTTCCAACTTGGGATATTCTATGATTCTATGATTCTATGATTGTAATGAAAATACATTTACTGTGCTTACCATGTTAATAGACAATAATGGGAAACTTAAGTACTGATTATTTTTTTCCTTTCAAAAAGTAGCCTTGACCTGTTAGCCATAAACATTGGCTTTCTGGTGATTTTTGCAAAGCATGTGGAAGAATCTGATCCTTCATGATCAAAATGTTTTCAGAAAGAGTTGTAAACTGTTACTCAAGGAAGACGTGGCACAGTATATTTTTCTGATGCAAGGAACATACATGCAGTGCATAACACTGTTAAAATACCTTTAATTTTGTGTGAGACCTGCTATGATGCATTTGAGTAGTAGGGTCATGTGTAATGTGCTGGTGACTTGGATATCTGCCAGCAACAGCAGCTCCCGTCTAGCATTTATTATTTTAATACTGTATATGGGATGTTAGCATAAAATTCCCAAAGCTTGTGTGTGCACTAAACATCATTCCTCTTTTTCATTCTGCTTTTCTAGTCTGGGACTGTGAAGCTGACCAAGCCTGTGGCATTATGGACCCAGCAGGATGTCTGCAAATGGCTGAAGAAACATTGCCCTAATCAGTATCAAATCTACAGTGAGTCATTCAAACAGCATGACATAACTGGTAAAGTATGCACTATCAGAAATATTTTACTTAGTTAAAATGTCATAAATTGTTTTATGTTGTTGTTAATAGATCGTGACCTGTACACTGAGGGCTTTTTGTTGACTGGATGACTCAAGAGCTGCAAGATCTAGAGCGGGGGGACAATAACAGTGTCCACTGCCTGTGGTGAATAGCTGATTTTTCCTAGCTGTCTTAAATACTTATTTCAGATTATTCAAGGTTTAATATAATGAGAAGTTAGTCTGCATGTGCGTAAAGGCCACACCCTGTTCATTCCAAATCAAACCCCTAAACATTAAGAAACGCCTTATGAGGAAAAATATAAATGATTTTTTTTTTTTTCATTGACGTGTTCCACCTTAAGGAGTTCATATCTTTCTGGCCTTTTTTTTTTTAATTACATTTAGATTTGTTAATGTGTAGGCTGGGAAGCGAGCCCAAGTGATCCCCACCCTAGGACTGAATCAGTTTCAACACAGAAAGTTTGTTTCTAATGCATATTTCATTAACTTTGTTCAAGAAAATGTGCGATCGGAGGAGATTTTTACATCTTTTCCAGAACTTTGTGGTTGCTTAACTTAAAGTTAGTAGTTTTCTAGTATCAACCTGAACTATTATTTGCTGCTAGTGAAGCTGTTTTCTGCCCCAAGTCTGTAGCTGGAGTAGACAGTTGTTCTTTTTCTTGTGTTTTTTCCTTTATTGGATAGAGGGCTTCCCACTTTCACATATTTTCTTTGGCTAGTCTAAAAAATACTTGTTTTGTCATAGTTTCTCCTCCAAATACCCGGAAGACCTCCAAATCCTCAACACTTGGTATTTTGTCTGCAAACAATATATTAAAAAGCGTCATTGTATTTTTATTTTCCTATTTACTTTAGAAGTTGATATTGATTTTTTCGATCTGCTTGACTTTTTAACTCCTTTTCAGTTTCTGGTAGTAGTATTTTACTTGGCCACTTTGAACTGACATCCGTTTAGCTGAGTAAATGGATTAATACAAATACAAATGAAACTGGGAGTTAAATAACATTCTTGCTTGTATCCCAGGAAGTAATTAGTCTGTAAAAAGTCTAATGTGGGACACTAATTTGTTCTCTGAAGTGGTAGTATACAAAACTTGGAAATGGCATTCAGCCAGTTAATATAAAGCAGAGATTTCAGTTCTACGTGCAAACCTCAGTCTAACAATAACGTATTGTTAACTCATACATGTTTTAATCTGTGTCTCTTTGTATATGTGCACTTGTGGTGTTTCATTTTTTCCATTAATTCCCATTTTTGTTATTTCCTTTTTGATAATGAGTGATTGCAAACATGGCAAACTGAACTACTCATCTTCGATTGTTGTGTAGCCATGAATACACACATGGGGTAATATGTGAGAGGTGGTTTGTGTCACCTTGGTAAATGTTGAGATTTAGTACGTAATCACTGCCTATTTCCTCTAAGTCATCTGTTTCTCAATATCTCGAATAAAGTCCTTAGAAGTGTAGTCTATCTCCACCCATGTATACGTGGGTGACTGCTTCCAGAGAGCTACCAGAAAACTTTTAAATGAAGGTCTTTCTTTTCATTTTTTTCTACTACCATTTTACTATTACCATGTCTCTTTTTAGAATTTAGGTGCTGTGAGCCGAAGTTGAAGAAAAAAATGTTTTCATTTCAATTTAAACGTACATGGAAATCATGTAGTTTCATTGTAGATGGTTGAAAATTTAAACTTTATAGACCTCTATGAAAAAGGAGAATCAAGATCAATCTTTCTTACTTTACTCAAAAGAGGTATAAGGAAAATATTAGTATGAGTGTTAGAAAGTAAGTCTGCAATAAAGAAAAGAGCTGCATTTGATCTTCATGGGTCCCTTCCAACTCGGGATATTTGTGATAACAGAAGAAATGTGATAATATTTGCATGGATTTTACAAGTTATCGTGATAATATTATGAGTGAAAACAGTCACTCAGGAGGATACTTCCAGTGTTGTTGGTCCCATGCCTCAAAGTACTTGACATATTTTAATAAAGGGGCAGAACACTAAATTTTTGGCTCAAGAAAAGCAGAATGCGAAATGAGCATGAAAACTGCTATGAAGATTAAGCCAAGATAGTGTAAATGGTTCCAGATATGGCTATGGAAAAGTAATGTGATTGTTGAAAATCTCTCAGGAATTAAGTTGACTTTACAGGCTTCTTTGATATGGAAAAATACGATGAAAGGGACTCGAAGAAAATGACAAGAAAAGGATTTTTAAGCTTTATTTGAAGATAAAATCTAAGGCATGGTCGTAAGCCAGGAAAAAAACTCTTGGACAAACATATCTAGATGTTGTCACCTTAACCATAGGTGTTGAAAAGTGTGGCGTTTTGAGTACCTGGGGACTGTTAGTTACTGATTATAGTTTATTGGTTTGAGGGCAAAAAATTTGAAACAAAATGTCCTTTGTAGAGGATTTATGTTTATAGCACTCTTGACAAAAAGCAGCTGCAGATGCATGAGGAAAAAAAAAATAATGTTAGTATACCTAACAAGGATAAAGAAAATGATATTTATATTAACATTTATATTGCCATAATGTTGTGGGGCGGTGTACTCTCATCAGATTTACACCAAATTGTGGGTTGATGCAGTCAAGACTGAGGCTGCCACTGACAGGGACTTAGGCTTGAGGAGTGAGCCAACAGGATCCATATGAAATTCAACAAGGACAAATGTGGAGTTTTGTATCTGGGAAGACAGAACCCCTAGCACCCCATAAAGGCTGGGGCTGACTGGCTGGGGAAGCTGTGTTGAAGAGGACCTGTGGTCCTGATAGACAGGGAAAAAAAAATAAAAATGATAAAAAAATAAAATAACAGAATCCTGGGTAGTATTAACAGGTGCACAGCCAGCAGATCAAGGACAGTGGTTATTGTACTTCACGCGTTTTAAACTCCATTTCTTGGACCTCCAGTGCTGAAAAGGCATTGACAAAATGGAGTGAGCTCAGGTGAGGACAACAAAGATGCTCAGGGCTGGAGCACTTGCAATGTGAGCAGGGCCATCAGGGAGCTGGGCTTGTTCGGGTAGTGTGAGGGGACTAGCAGCAGCTCCCAGCATGTGGAAGGATGTTATCATAAAGATGGGGCCAGGTTTATCACAGAGATGTATGAAAGTCACTATACATAAGTTGAAGTGAGAGGTTAAGACTGAATATATTAAGGAACTTTTCCCCTATAGCTGGGCATTAGAACAGGTTGCTCGAAGAGGTTGTGCAGTCTCTGCCCTGGGAGAGTTTCAAGCCCCAGCTGGAAAAAGCCTTGAGAAAAGTGATCTGATCTCATATCTGACCCCGCTCAGAGCAGGACTACACATGTCCTGAGGTCCCTTCCAACCTGAATTCTCTGGTGATCCTACAATTTGCTGAGTGCGTATGGATCACCTCAGAACCAATTAAATGCATTTTGCAGGCAGTTAGGGACGATTAAATACAGAAAGGTCCAATAAGAAGTTGGGAGATGTTTTTAATACGCAAGAACTGATTTGGTGAGTGGAGCATCTGGTTGATATACTCAGCAAAAGGCCAGAGGTCAATTGCATTGTGTTTGACCCAAGACAGGACCAAAACAATGTGAAAGACTAACTCTGAGTAAGATCTAAGGCACATGATAAGAATTACCAGTGGTAGAAAAAAAATAAGACAATAAGAAGAGCAAAACAAAGATGCCAGTAGCCTGTACAACCAAGAAAAGAATGTAATGGTATGACCTTGACACTAGAGGCTCTGCAACTGGTGGTGACTTTTACAGCAGCATGAGGGAGCATAAAAAGTTGTTCTGACTGCACAGCCCTTTATACCTGCTTTATACAAATATAATCCATGGAACAAAACTGAGAAATGTACCTTGTTTTTGGTGTTTGGATGCGGCTTTGAATTTGCAAGGCAGCAGTGCTTTTAAATGACTAGGGAGTTCTTGAGAGATGAATTGTTCTTTGACAGCCTTATCCTGTGCCATTGAAACAAATGAAGATTTTTGCCATGTCTCAAAATTAATAGGAGCAAGACTGGGCATAGAATGACTAAGGAATAACCATTTGGGGGAAAATGGTTCATTGGCAAAGTAATAAAGATGATGCCTAATTAACTACTTATTCATGTGTGATTTGTTGAAAGAAAGGAAGGAAGGAAAGAAACCCTGCTTCACCTCTTGTTTTTACACCCTGTTCCCCAGTGTGCTAATGCATGTCTTCAGAGCATGAGGTTTTAATGCTATGATCATTAAACAAACCTCATTCTGTCAAAGTAATACCCAAGAGGTACCTTGGTCCAAGGAAAGGAATTTGATAGGAGGTACTTGAAAGGACTCAAGCCTTTTTAAATTAAACTTTTAAGGAGGAAAGGAACAGGACTCGAGAAAACCTCTTTTTAGTTTTAGAAGGGACCAGAATTTATGAATATTCATTAAATACCAAATGGCACCTCAGAAAATGAAATATGAACTGCTAGTGAAAACCTACAAATGGCCGTAGAATCTGGCTAATTCTATAACCTCTAAAGGTGCTTTCATTAAATCAACTACTTTGCCTTATATTTTTATGAAATTCATATAAAAATACTGCTTTTAAAATCAGAAATGATTTTTCTTTCATTTGAATAGTATGTTTGCAAAACATAATGGGTTTATCATGACGACTGAAATACTTAGGTTGTGAGCACATTGGTAAAAGGATGGCCTTGTGGTTTTAAATGCTACACTGGAATTTAGAGAAGTCTTGGCTCTATTTCAGGTTATTCTGGTATTAGGCAGCATACTGAATCCTAAGGATCTAAGTTATTCTATTCATACAGAGAAGCGCATCCTTTTTATTATCACAGTGCTGCCAGATATGTTTCCAGGATATATAGTTAGGTTATACTCTGTTTCACACAACTCAGTTAAGTTTTGTGCTACAACCAGTGAAATGCCATAGGGGCGAGAGATCTGAAGGGGGATGCAGAAGGCCTGGGTCTCATTCCTATC